AAGTTGGTGCAATCATTGCGAAGTTACCAAGTTCGTGGAAAGGCTATAAAAAGAAACTGTTGCACAGTTCTGATGACTTTTCCTTGGAGAAAATCCAGAAGCATCTTCGAATCGAGGAGGAATCGAAGGAGAGGGAAAAATCAGAATCTGCGGGTCTTTCCAAAGCCAATGCTGTGACCAGAAAGGAAAAGAAAAAACATGATGTCAAGAAAAGTCACATCGCACCAAAAAAGGAACATACCAAGTTCAAGAACTTCGGTGGTCCGAAAGGTCCGAAAAATGGATGCTTTGTATGTGGAAAACCTGGACATTATGCTCGAGATTGCAGGCATAATAAATCAAAAAAGGAGATCAATGCAGTGAATGCTAATGATGATATAATTGCTACTGTGAGCGAAATTATGGCAATCAAAGGCAAGGTCCAAGGCTGGTGGTATGATACATGTGCCACGGTTCATGTCTCATATGACAGGGCTGCATTCAAAACATATTCTGAGGCAAATGATGGACAAGAAGTACAAATGGGAAATGAAGTGCGATCCAAAGTTGTTGGAACCGGAACGGTCGAACTCAACTTCACTTCTGGAAAGAAAGTTACTCTTGTTAATGTGCTTCATGTCCCAGACATGAATAGGAATCTTGTTAGTGGGGATTTATTGGGAAAACCGGGTATTAAATATGTGTATGAATCGGGCAAACTTATCTTGACCCGTAATGGTGTGTTTGTTGGAAAAGGATATTCCGCTGAAGGAATGATCAAACTATGTATTACTGATAACATGATTAATGAAATTTCTAATTCTGCTTACATGCTTGATTCAGTTACTTTATGGCACAATAGATTAGCACATATTGGTATTAGTTCAATGAAGAGACTAATTAAACTTGGCTTGATATCATGTAATATCAAAGATTTCAATAAATGTGAATTATGTGTTAAATCAAAAATGATTAAGAAACCTTTCAAAAGTGTTGAAAGAAATACAAATCTGCTTGATCTTGTACATTCAGATTTGTGCGAATTTAATGGCATGTTGACCCGTGGGGGAAATAGATATTTCATTACATTTATTGATGATTGTTCTAGATACACTTATGTATATATCTTAAAGCATAAAGATGAGGCTTTTAATGCCTTTAAAAGTTACAAAGCAGAAGTGGAAAATCAATTAAGTAGAAGTATAAAAGTCCTTAGGAGTGATAGGGGCGGTGAATACTTCTCCACTGAATTTGATGCATTTTGTGAAGAACATGGTATAATACATGAATGTTCGGCACCTAGAACACCACAACAAAATGGCATAGCAGAAAGAAAGAATCGAACATATCAAGAAATGATGAATGCCATGTTATTGCATTCCGAACTACCTTTCAATTTGTGGGGCGAAGCTTTATTATCCGCTTGTCACATAATAAATAGAATTCCCTTAAAGAAAAGTGGAATTTCTCCATATGAGGTATGGAAGGGCATGACACCAAATATTGGCTACTTTAAGGTGTGGGGGTGTGTGGCATATTACAAAAACATGGATCCTAAGAGAACCAAGTTGGGTCCTCGAGGGATAAGATGTGCATTTGTAGGATATGCACAAAATAGCAAAGCATATAGACTGTTAAATTTAGAGTCTAATATTATTGTTGAATCCCGGGATGTAGAATTCTTTGAAAACCTTATAACTAAGGATAAAGAATCAGAGTCGGCCATAAACAAAGAATCTTGTGAAAAGGACTCTTCTCAGATTGTAGAAATACAACCTGAAGACACATCTCGAATAAATGAACCACGACCCGAACCTAGGATAAGCAAAAGAGTCCGGAAAATAAAGAACCTAGGACCAGACGAAATTGATTCTCAATCCATTTCATTTTATTTAGTTGAAGGAAATAGTACAAATTTTATTAAAAGCATTCCGGTAATTCTTCAAGTAGGGGAAGATCCTAAAACTTATAAGGAAGCAATAGCTTCAAGAGACTCCTCCTTTTGGAAAGATGCTATCCGAGATGAAATGGATTCAATTATGTCCAACCACACTTGGGAACTTGTTGATTTACCAAAGGGATCAAGACCCATTGGATGCAAGTGGGTGTTTAAAAAGAAATATCATAGTGATGGTACATTAAACACTTATAAAGCAAGATTAGTGGCAAAAGGATTTAGACAAAAGGAAGGTATAGATTATTTTGACACTTATGCACCTGTAGCGAGAACAACCACTATAAGGTTGTTGTTTGCTTTAGCATCTTTAAATGATCTGATTGTTCATCAAATGGATGTTAAAACAGCATTCCTAAACGGAGACCTCGATGAGGAAATCTACATGGAACAACCAGAAGGACACGTCCTTCCTGGAAATGAACAGAAGGTGTGCAAACTTGTCAAATCCCTATATGGCTTAAAACAAGCACCAAAACAATGGCATCAAAAGTTTGACTCTACGATAATGTCAAATGGATTTATTCCTAATTCTTGTGACAAGTGTTTATATACAAAAGTGTATAATAACACTGTAATATTTTTGTGTCTTTATGTTGATGACATGCTAATAATTAGCAATAGACTTAATGGAATTCTAGAAACAAAAAGGTTTCTAACTTCCACTTTCAAGATGAAAGATCTTGGGCTTGTTGACACAATTTTAGGAATAAAAGTTAAGCAAAATAGTGGGGGTTATGAACTTAATCAAACACATTATATTGAGAAAATGCTTGATAAGTTCAAACACCTGAAATTCAAGGAAGTAACTACTCCATTTGATCATGTAATCAAACTTGAAAAGAATGATGGAAGAGCAGTGGCTCAATTAGAATATGCAAGTGCGATCGGATGTCTTATGTACTTAATGCAATGTACTAGACCCGATATATCATTTGCAGTTAGTAAAATGAGTAGATTTACTAGTAATCCAAGTAATGAACATTGGAAGGCAATCACGAGGATATTTGGTTATTTGTTGAAAACCAAAGATCTTGGTCTTCATTATGGTAGGTTTCCTGCTATACTAGAAGGATATACCGATGCCAGTTGGATCTCTGACGTGGGAAATCACAAATCTACAACTGGGTGGATATTTACACTAGCTGGAGGAGCAATTTCCTGGAAGAGCAAGAAACAAACATGCATTACTCTTTCGACCATGGAATCAGAATTCATGGCTCTCGCTTCCGCTAGTCAAGAGGCAGAGTGGTTGAGGGATCTTCTTTTGGAAGTTCCATTGGCTAAAGACAATGTTTCAAAGGTAATGATACACTGCGATAGTCAGGCCACTTTGGCAAGAGCATTTAGCGAAGTGTATAATGGAAAGTCCAGGCATATAGGACTTAGACATTCGTTCGTAAGAAAACTGATTAAGGATGGAATCATTTCACTTACGTATATACGAACAAGCTATAATTTGGCTGATCCATTTACTAAGCCGCTGGCCAGAGACTTAGTAAGAACAACCTCGAGAGGTATGGGGTTGAAACTCCTTGAGTAAGAGTTCCGACAATGGCGGCAACCCAATCTTAAGTTAACAGAACATTAACGTTAAGATTTTCAATGGGTAACAACAAGTCGTTGATTTGGATAATTGTCTAACATTTCATAATTATGTTGACATTAGAAAAGAGGGTTGAGTTTTATCTTAAACTCTTAATGAAGTTCAATACCGAGGGTACGTATCTATTGGAAACAGATACTATATGAACTTCACCTATGTGAATTATGAGATGGTGCCGTCTCAAAGTGAGAGTTGGAGTTTCTCTCATGAAAAATTCATGAAACAGGATAGCACATGGCCATAAATAAGTGCTAAGCGAGTTATGCAGAGGAAGAATCTTTAAGGAGTGTGTGTAAGGTAACACCGGTCTATTCAAATGGATTCATGGTTTAAAAGCATTGCTACCTAATATTCCGATTAAACCTTGTGTTATTCTTACTAAGGTTAAGTTTAAAATCGAAAGATACTTAACTGTATTAATACTTCTTATGTCCCATTTCTGGAATTATTATTTTGTCATTATTAGAACAAGTGGGGGATTGTTGGAAATAATAATTTATTTCCATTAAAGTTGTTCCAAAATGACAAAGTGGGTGTTATAATAAATGCTTAGTCCCACATTGGAAGAGGAGTAAAATTAAATAGCATTTATAAGGCACTTGGAACAATGTAATTTCCAAAAGAGCCAAAAAGGATAAAGTGCCACATAGTCACATGTGGTGGTGCCAAAACTTATGTCACTTGTCTCATACAAAACACCCCTCGCCGGTGTCGCCACCGGCGACACCGGCTCCGGCTCCGGCTCCGGAACCGGATCCGGGGGCGTGGGCGTAGAGGCGCTAGTGGCGGCTTGTAGACGGCACTTGAGCACTTAGGCACGATGCATCGGAGCAATCGGGCTATTCGCGGCGTTAATGAGGCGGCGCCGGTGGCGCTCCGGCCGCCTCCGGCGGGCGGACCGGCCTTCGGCCGGTATACTGCGAATTTAATTTTTAATTATCGCTCAGACTTATTCGTTGCCTAGAGTTTGATTTTGAATTTGAATTTGAAATACATGACACTTGACGAAGTGGTGCATGATATTTTATGTGAACCATTGCAAATGCTCATTAGAGAGTGTGTTTATGAAGAATTGCAAACTTCTGAAAAGACACATGCATGGCTATAAATATATGCTTCATAATTCGAAATCATTCACTTCAAAATTCTGAAATCCTCTTCCATATAATTCCAACATTTTCCTTGCATTCGAAACTTCATCAGTCTTGTGCAGTTTCGAGAAAAAGGCTGACTTATCCTGGGTATTCAGGTCGTTCCAACTCTAAGACAATCTGAGAGTGTGCTTGAAATACTTTTAAGGAAAGTGATTTCGTTCACGATTCAGTCTGGATCCATTCGACATAGAAGGATTATCTAACATATGCATCTCTTCTTGTTTCTCCTTGAGAAATCAATGATTTCGTTCAAAACTAGCACCCCGTCAAGTAATTGTCTCCCCTTAATGAAAGTTGTTTGTGTGTGTCATATCAGTTTCCCCATTGCTCTTTTAAGTTTCGCAGCCAGAACCTTCGAAACGATCTTGTATATGCAGCCAATAAGTGTAATTGGTCTATAATCGTCAAAGCTTTGTGGATTCTCCTTTTTGGGGATTAAAGCCAAGAAAGAAGAAGAAATGACTTTCGGTAACCAAGTTGAATCGTGGAATTCATTGATGCAATCTACCACCTCCTTGCCAACAATATCACAACATCTCTTAATAAATTTGACATTGAAACCGTCAGGACCCAGACTTTTGTTTTCGTCCTCTTCGAATATAACTTCTCTAATTTCCTCAACACAAAATTTCTCTTCTAGCACAATTACATCTTCAACAGATAATCTATTAATACCAGTGAAATCCAGTTCAGGCCTGCAGGTATTTTCAACATAAAATCTCTTACTGAAATGATCTCTTGCAGCTTGTTTAACAGAGTTGACCTCCTCCACATAGGCAGAATTAACCAAAACAGATGAAATCGAATTTTTCCTGGTTCTATGGTTGAGCATAGCATGAAAATATTTTGTATTTTAATAGCCATCTTGGATCCATTTAACTTTCGATTTTTGTTTAATGATGTTATCTCTAATACGCAGGTGCTTCCAAAAGTTAATCTGAGCTTTCCTTCTCCTATTAATCTCTGAATTCGAAACAACTTCTGAATCTATGGCCATGCATTCTTCGACATTATTGATGATATCCATCTCACGCTCCACGTTAAGATCAAGTCTTCCAAATATATGTTTGTTCCACCATTTGAGTTTATCATTAAGCATTCTGAATTTGGTTGAAATTATGAATTTAACACTGCCTTCAATCATTAGTGAATTCCATACTAATTTGACAAAAGCCATAAAATCCTCATGTTCAAACCAACATTTGAAGACTTTAAAGGGTTTAGGTCCCCAATTCACATTTCTAGCCTTGAGCGATACGGGTTTATGATCTGAAACGTCTCTGTTTCCAACTATCTGCAAAGCAGTGTTCCAATCCTTCAAAAGCTCATTTGAAACCAAAAACGTGTCAAGGCGACTATGATTTTTCCCATTCAGCCAAATTCATCAGATAAATGAATGATCTAAAATATTTCATTTATTCTCTCGAGTGTGCTTGTTTTCTACTGCTCTCTTTCGGATTTTTAATTGCATTGAAATCGCCTCCAAAAAGCCAATCTCCAAGTTCCAAACTAGCCTTGTATTTCAGAATTTTAGACCACATGTTTCTCTTCTCCAACAAGTTACAAGATGAATAAATATTTACAATGTAAATGTGTCTTCCTTTCCGTTATATAAACAGACCCAAAAATCTCTTCCCTCCAAAGTTGGATATGGGTCTCATGGATGGTTAATCTCCATAACCAATCCATAATCATAAATAATCCATATATTACAATCGGTTATTAAAACCAATTCTCATAACCGGTTTTCATTAAAATGGTTATAAACTGGTTATTAACCGGTTATATCCATAATCAATTTTATAATTAGTTTTTATTTAATTTTATTTTAAAATTGATTTTTTCAAAAATATAATATTTAAAAAAAAAATATTGATGTTCAAAAAAACAATAGTTATTTTAAAATCTTTCAAAAAAATCATTATTGATAGTTTATTTTTTATTTAACGAATGGCCTATTATAAAAATTTAAAAAAAAATTTAATATTTATACTTAACACAAAAAACACAAAAAGAAAACTAATAAACTTATGAGTTCATTCTTACTAAGAAAAAAATGAAAAAAATGAGTAAGTAAATAAGCGTATAAAACAAACAAGAAAAAATAGAATAAAAAACCAAAAAAAATAATAATTAGTAAAAGAGTGAACCTGATAGAATGGATCAATTTTTTATATTTAATTTTTAATTAAATTATATAATATTAATTACAACATAACTAATAGTATAATGTGAATATTTATAATAATTATTTTCAATGAAAATATATCATTAATAACTAACTTCTTAATTTTGAAATTTTTTTTATAAATAAAATATATAGATATGTAAAAACAAAAATTAAATGATCACATTAATAATTATTCATTTTTTTAGAGAAAATAATCGAATTCATAATTTCATTATCACTCTAATTCTTATAAGGTTTTCAAAATCAAATATATATGTTAGTAAATATGTAGACAATAATTAAACTATTAATATTTAAATAAAAGTTTATTTTTAAAATAAAAATAGTCTCGTGATTCACTATATGCTTATTCAAAAGATAGGGATGTTCACGTGTTATAATTATAGTACAGTAAATCATTTTTATATTAATTTATTTAAAACTAAATTTAAATTTAAGCTACAAACTATCAATACTTACATTTTCTTATCTTACTAAAGTTCAAAGTGCCTTAAAATTGGTTATTAGCAAAAATAAGCTAATGTATATGTTTTTTTATTTCTATATATATTATTTAAAAAATATTTTTTTTTCAAAACTTTTTTTTATTTTTTTTAAAACTTGACTAATTTGCTTTTTATTTTGGATATGGATGTCCAAATTATAGATTTGGTTAAAACCATATTAAAAATATATCCAAAATGTGGATTTGATTAAAACTATACTAATAATTAATCGGTTTTTAATAACCGAATTTAAATACGGATATAGATTATTTAAATAACCGGTTTATTTGAGCACCCTTAGATATGAAAGAAAGGAACTCTTTTCTCCAAATCGTCAACAAGCCACCTGATAGTCCAGATGAATTGGTTGCTGACCATTCAAAATTGATTCGACCCCACAAGCTACGAACCATACTATCTAACATATTCTTATGTTAACTTAGAGTGCAGAGGCACCGAAACTGCTGTTTTATTTATTGATCTGTTAACATAACAAGAATTACAAACTGCTTAATAAAGCTGTAAGCCACTAACAATATATTCCTAAAATTCAGCACCCACTACTTACTCAATCAAATATCCCTAAAGACTAGGACAAACTCAAAACAAATCAGTTACCAACATAAATAATATAATAAATTAATATTTCTAATATTCTCCCTTAAACTGAAATTTTTCAAACATTCAGTTTATCACACACTCCCAACAATGCTCTGAGCTTCTGAAATGCAGCCAACTTCAATGGCTTGGTCATTATATCGGCAATTTGGTCTTCACTTCTGCAGTAGTGAAGTTCAATCACTCCATCCTTTGTGAGATTTCGGATAAAATGAAATTTCACATCTATGTGTTTGCTTCTTCCATGTAAAACAGGATTATTGGACAGTTTGATAGCTGAACTGTTGTCGCAATAAATTGCAGTAGCATTAACTTCCCTTTCCTGCACAAAATTCAGCCCTTCAAGTATCCTCCTAAGCCAAATTGCTTGACAAGCACATGCTGTTGCAGCAACATATTCTGCTTCGGTAGTTGATAGGGTGACTATCTCTTGTTTCTTTGATGACCATGAGATGGCTCCAGAACCCAGCATAAAGACATAGCCGGGAATACTCTTTCTATCATCAATATCTCCAGCATAATCACTATCTGTATAGCCAATCAGATCCGAATTTTCTCCCTTCTTGTAGAAAATTCCAAAACTAGTAGTACCTCGAAAGTACCTGAGAATTCTCTTTGCAGCCAAGAGATGACTCTCCTTAGGATTTTCCATATACCTGCTGATCAAACTTACAGCATGCATGATATCAGGCCTCGTTCCTGTTAAATACATCAGACTCCCCACGATTTGCTTGTAAAGTTGGCTGTCAACCTTCTTTTCATCCGAATTTCGAACAAGTTTCAAGCCTACTTCAGTAGGTGTAGCAGCACAATTGCAATTTGACATCTGAAATCTGTTCAGAATCTCTTGCACATACTTCTTTTGTGAGATAAATATGCCAGCTTTTGATTGCACTAGTTCTATACCGAGAAAATAATGCATCTTCCCTAAATCAGACATATCAAATTCCAACATCATAGATTGCTTAAACCTTTCAAACATGCTGAAATCGTCCCCTGTATATATCAAATCATCCACATACAAGCACACGATCAACAATTTTCTTCCTTCCCCACTTTTCACAAAAAGTGTGTGTTCAAAAGGACATTTCTCAAACCCTTCCTTCAGGAAGTAAGCTTCAATTCTACTGTACCAAGCGCGTGGTGCTTGTTTTAATCCATACAAACCTTCTTTAGTCTGTAGACTTTGTGCTCACATCCAAACTTCATGTATCCAGGAGGTTGATCAATGAACACCTTCTCCTTCAAATCACCATGTAAAAATGCTGATTTTACATCCAATTGGAAGATGGGCCATGAATTTTGTGCAGCTACAACAACCACCATTCTAATTGTATCATGTCTTGCAACTGGAGCAAATACTTCAGTATAGTCCACCCCAAACTCTTGGTTGTAACCTTTAGCGACAAGTCGTGCCTTGTACTTGTCAACTTCTCCATCTTCCTTGAATTTTGTCTTATACACCCATTTCACACCAATTGTCTTTTGCCTTTGTGGAAGATCAACCAACTCCCAAGTGTTGTTCTTCTCAATAGAAGCAATTTCTTCATCCATTGCTTTTTTCCACTTTGGTTCCTTAATAGCTTCTTCAAAAACCATGGGATCACAATCCGTAAGAAATGCAAAGTGTGTTAGTTGACATTCTGATTGATTTACTCCAGTCACCTCATAATCAATCATCCAACCAGGTCTTCTTTTATCACGCCGAGGACGAGGTTCTGAAGTTGATGTTGCTGGTGAGCGACTTCTTTTATCACGCCGAGGACGAGGTTCTGAAGTTGATGTTGCTGGTGAGCCAAGAGTCTGCACAGAATTATCAGCTGCTGTTTCTGCAGGCTATTGTTGTGTGGACCGGTGCTGCACACTTGAAGTTTCAGGCTGCTCATCTTCAATTTCATCAAAATCCACCAGTTTCTCTTGATGCACAACAACACTCTTATTCGCTGCCCAAAAATTTTGTTCATCAAATATCACATCACGGCTAATTATAATCTTCTTGGTGTTAGGATTATAAAGCTTATATGCTTTTGACTGATCACTAATACCAAGAAAAATACACTTCACCCCCTTGTCTTCAAGTTTTGTTCTTCTCTGATCCGGGACATGAGCGTAGGCAACACACCCAAAAATTCTGAGGTGATTGACAACTGGTTTATTTCCACTCCATGCCTCCTCAGGAGTCATGTTTTGAACAGAAAAGGTCGGACTTCTATTCAAAATGTGGACGCTCCAATTCACTGCTTCGGGCCAAAAAGTTTTAGAGATTCCACTTCTATTTAGCAAAATTCGAACCATGTTCATAATAGTGCGATTTTTCCGCTCACAAACACCATTTTGCTGAGGTGAATATGCTGCTGTAAGCTGCCTTTGAATTCCATGATTCTCACAAAACATTGCGAATTCATGCGACGTATACTCTCCACCACGATCTGTTCGCAGAACCGTAATCACACATCCACTTTCCTTTTCAACAGACACTTTAAATGTCTTGAAAACATCAAATGCTTCAGATTTTTCTTTCAAAAAATACACCCATGT